TTTATAGTGTGGAGACAGTAGCAAAAGCCTCAGTTGATAGGTGCTCATAGTATGTTTTATTTACATGTGGCAGTGGGCTCCTATCTTCCAGACTATCAGGCAATGCCTGATTATCACATAGAAAAAACCTGGGGGTAGTTTTTACTCCAGGTAACTATGCCAAAGGTCATGTTCCAAATAAGGTCAGGCATCCATGCTTGGCGGCACTTTCCAGGTAAGTCAGGATTAGAGCAGGAGGCCCCCTGCTGAGAAGGGGAGTCCTTCCATATAGCGCGGAGCCCCTTAGAGCTATCCGGACATGGAGGACTACAACCCTAACAGCAGGGTTCCCCAACAGAGAAGAGTAAGTTTAATTCTAAGAGTGGCTCTTTATACCTGATGAGCAGCGTCGGCCAAGGATACAGTGTGCAAAACATAAATCAAGCAAAGTTCAAAGTAAAGAGTGTTTTTCTTTTCTGTTACTAACCGAACTCTCCCAGAGCTCTAGTCCGTGAGAAAGGAAAACACAAGCCCATCCACTATCGTTACTGTCCCAAGGCGGAGTTCTGCCCTTGACTGAGAGGTGGTGTCCGCCAATATCCAAACAGTCTCTTGTCCTCAACAGACAGCTGGACTCTGTCTTGTCTTTGATTCACCTTCTGCAGAACTGAACTCCATCAATTCTAGAGGCTGAGGAGTCTGGGAGCATGGTGTTGACACCTGTCATGGACATTTTGCGTCAGGAGAACAAGGTAGAGAGAACTTCACAGAGATGCAGAGCAAGTGTACCAGCTCAGGTCTCCCTCTCACATAGCCACCCTTGGGGACCCTACACTCAGGATTTCATCCAGTCCCAGCTACTTCCCTGCGCCCAGCCTCCAAACCCTATTAGCATATGAGCTTGGAGTTTGGGACTCAAGTCTCCAAACCATGAAGCATTGGTGGATGGCACATTCAAACCACAACCTGCTCAGGAACCAGTAGCAAAGCTGGAGGTGGGGGGAGTGAGTCGTCAGCATAAGGAGTGAGATGAGACAGGATGTCATTGGTCCCTGAGATCCCAAGCTGGGATTGAGTCTTCTCCATTGCCCACTGTCCAGCATCCAGGTACATCCCACACACATCATGGACCTGTGGCTGATCTGTGGGCACTGTTTCCAGCAGGCTGCTTTCAAGCTGTGAGACCCAGACGGGACATCTGTTGCTTTGTCATCCAGAGTCTCCATCATGTCACGGAGCACAGGGGGGCTTTCTTCTTAGCTGCAGAAGGATGGCCCACTTCAGTTTCATTAGGCAGGGTTTCCAGACAAGTATCTCCCAGGGGCTCAGTGGGCAGCTAGTCCCTGGACCAGCATGCTGGTGTCCCCACAAAGCATCTGGGACAGGACTAGCCACTGCTGCCACGTCACAGGATGTATACAAAGCAATAGACCGTTGAGGGCACACTGGACAGACAGATAAAGTTGATCATGGGTAGCAACGTCCAGCCTGAGTTCTGAGCACCCCATGCACCAGAGCAAAAAAGTCTGACATTACGAGCCCTCTGTGGGAAGCTCTGGTTTCTGGTACCTGCTGTGGTTTGCCCACTGGTCCTGTTGACTTGTTGGCATCCTTGGAGGGGGCAAAACCCGCACCCTTGAGATAAGGCTATAGTCTTTGTGGTCCCAGGCATGAGCGTGCACTGTTCTACCTGCCAGTGAGAGTGCCTGTCTTCTGGGCTGATCTGGATCAAGAGTGGAGTTTGCTGGCTGAGCACTGCAGGCAAGGATCTGGGTGTGGTGCAGTTGCACCCTGGCAAGATCACACCTAAGCAGCTGCAATCACTGGGGGCTCCATCTGCCTCTGCACAGACAGATGCCTCCTTGCAACTTTGAGTCTGCCTTTTGCTTTTTCAATTTGATAAAGATGGAGAGCACAGAGCACTGGCCTTTCTTACAAATGTCTCACCCCCCAACCCCACCCCCAGAAGAGCAAGCTGCTCTGAGACCCTGCCAGCTGGGAAGACTGGGCAGTGAAGGTCTGGGGCTGGGTTTTACTGAGACCCTCTGTCACAGTAGCTGCACTCCTGGCCTGCTGGATCGACCTGAGTTTCTCTGATGGTGCAGGTCCTTGGTGGGTGGCCATCTGTTTCAATCCTGGACAGTTGCCCACAGCCCAATGGCCCTGTGGCCAGACCCTGCTGTGCATTACTCTGACCATGCTTCCCACAGCCTTATGGCCCAGCACAGCAGCCCAGTACAGTATACAGTTTGTAAAAATGTTGCAGTAACCACCACCACCATCCCCATGCCTTTTATTGACTCTCAAATTGCCCGTGTAACTATCCATACTCTATAACCATATATGCTTTATACTTTACATTACCTGTATAACCATACATCTTTGGTCCAAAGGACAATAAAAGAAGTGACGCCAAAGGACATTTGAAGAGTTCTTGGGGTCTGTCTCTCTTGCTGGGGATAAAGGTTATAGGGTCAGCAGACAAGAGTCCTGCTCAACAGCACCTGGGCATGAGGCCACAGATGTCTGAGAGAGTCAGCCAAGGTCTCCCATCTATCCAAAGACCTGCCCAGCCTACCCAAAACCATGTACTAGATAGAAGGCTGCTAGTTTGAGCCACAAATTCTGGGATGGTTTGTTACACGCCAAAGACTGACTGACTGCTTTGACTTAGCTGTTGCACAGGGATCTCACCAGAAGGTCTCCTGGCCTTTCCACATGCTGCTACTCCACCTCCAACATCCCCACCCTCTTCGATCGGCAAACGATTGGACCATCAAGACCCTCTTCCCCTCTAGAAAGCCTCCTTGGTTCCCATGATGGTTAATTCTCACGGTCAGTTTGAATGGATTTAGAATCACCTAGGAGACACACCTCTGGGCATATCTGTGAGGGAGTTTCCAGAGAGGTTTAAGTGAGGAGGGAGGATCCATCCCATGGGCTGGGGTCCTGGACTGAATAAAAAGGAGAAAGTTAGCTGAGCACCAGCATTCATCTCTCTGCCTCCTGACTGTGGATGCCATGTGACCAGCTGCCTCATGCTCCTGCCACCATGCCTTCCCACCATGATGGACTGCACCCTCAAAATGTGAGACAAAATAAACCCGTCTTTTAAAATATTTTATTATTTTTAATTTATGTGTATGAGTGTGTTGCCTGCATGTCATACAATGCCCGCCAAATTCAGAAGAGGGCTTCGGCTCCCCTGGTACTGGAGTTATGGATGGTTGTTAGCTGCCACATGGGTGCTGGGAACTGAATCGGATCCCCTGCAAGAGCAGCCAGTGCTCTTAACCACTAAGCCATCTCGCCAGCTCCCAAAACCCTCCTTTCAGTTCCTTTTGTCAACTTTTTTGCTTTCTTTTTGAGACAGGGTGTCATGTAGCCCAGGTTGACCTTGAACTTGTTAAGTAATGGAGGCCGAACTTGAACTTCTGAGCCTCCTGTCTCCATCTCCTGAGTGCTGGGATTATTGGTATGTACATCATGTCTGATTCGTGCAGTGCTGGGGATTGAACCCAGGACTTCCTACATGCCAGGCAAGTGCTCTACCAACTGAGCTGCATCTCCAGCCTCTGTTAGTTATTTTTCCATAGCAATAAGAAAAGCAACCAGCACAGCACTCTTTGCAATGACAGCCATCAAAGTGTATTTATTGAGTCCAGTTTGTGCTGGTGTTGTTCTAGGTGCTGGCTTTGAATAGTGAGCGGGAGAGAGGGGCCCTCCCTGTGGAGTCCCTGGTGTGATGGGGTGACAGGAATCAGACAGCAGTAAACCTCACTGGTTGAAGCAACACGTTCATGGGTCTGAGGAAAGGAGGACCCACATTAGGCAAAGCAGTCAGAGAAGGCTTCCTGGACGCAGTGGCATGCAAGCCCATGTTAGGAATGAGATCTGAGCTGTGCTCATGGACGTGGGGAACAGTCTGTGACGCCAAAGTAAAAGCCTAAGGTATTGTCAGGGAACAGGCAGATTGCAGCATAGTGGACAGGGAAAAGACAGGGGAGCTGTGATGGGTAGACTATGGGTATGGGGACGAATGGGCTGGGACCTGTCCTGCAGACTGACTTTTACTTAAGAGCTATTGACTGTGTGTAGTGGCCTATAATCCAGGCACCTGACCTGTTGATAGTTTTAGTGTCAACTTGACACACCTGGTGAGAGGGGATGGCAACCAAGGAACTGTCTCCCCTGGACAGGCCTGTGGCCATGTCTGTGGGCATCTTCTTGATTGTCGAGTGATGTGGGAGGGCCCAGTCCACTGTGGGTGCTGCTACCCCCGGGCAGGTGGTCCTGGGTTGTGTAAGAAAGCAGGCTGAGCACAAGCCAAGGGAACAAGTCAGTAAACAGGGTTCCTCCATGGCCTGTGCTCCAGCTCTTGCCTCCAGGTTCCTGCCCTGACTTCCCTTGGTGATGAACTGTGACCCAGGAGATGTAAGACAAAATAAACTCTGTCCTTCCCAAGTTGGTTTTCGTCAGTGTTTTTGTCACAGCAATAGAAAGCAAACTAGAACTGCAGGTAAAGGCAGGAGGATCAGGAGTTCAAGGTCATTCTCAGCTAATGCTGAATTTGAGGCCAGCCTGGGCTACACATGACTCAAAAACGACGAAAGTAGAAAGAACTATCGGACAGCTGTAGGGGCTGCTCAGGTGTTAGGTGGGTTAGGCTGGAGCTGGAGGCAGAGGTCCTGCACAATAAGGACAGGGGTGGAGGAGAGGTCATAGTTTGCTATGAAGCCCTGACCCTGGTTTCTAGCCTAGTAGCTGCTGTTTGAGAATTAAGGAGGCAGTGGCAGGGAGCATGGTATCAACAACTGCGTTCAAGATGCCCATGAGCCGTGGAAAGACTGAGAAACAGGGCAGGGGCAGGGGCTCTAGCAGCCTTCTGGTGGATTTGGGGTGCCAGCATCTCCCCAGCCACAGCTCAAAGAAGAGGAAGCTCCCCGCAGCCATCAGAGAGGCAGAGGAAGTGAGCTGCAGTCTCCCCCCCTCACCAACCCGCCCCAGGCAACCCGCGGACCCGGAACTGCCCCACTGCCTCTGTTGGGAACCTGGCTGCCTTCTGAGCTGGCGGCCTTATCTCCTGGTGTACAAAGAAGCAGCAGGTAAGGACATCTGGTCTCTGTGGGAACCCTGAGCTGCTAGAACCTTCCACAGGTCCACATGCTTGGTACAGATCTCACAGAGGAGGGCTGAGCTGCTTCATGAACCGGAGCCCAGAACCACATCTTAGCTGTGGCTGCATGGCGAGGGGGCTTCTGTCAAAAGGAAACCCCAAGTCCCTCCACGTTGCTGAGGCTGCCACATCATTTTCCTGAGGAGCTGTGAGCCCCACAGAACGGCCCTGCCTACCTCTTCTGAGCCAGATGAACAGTTCTTGTGCCATGGGCCCCTCCTCAGAACGGCAGTGCGTAGGGTGAAAGCTCCCACAAGAGGATGGGGTGGGGAAGAGACTTTGCTGGGCCTGTGGTCACCAGAGGCAGGTCCAGGTCCCTTTCCACTTGGCTGGGCGCTGAGTCCAGCTGTTCCTCATAAGGATGGGTCAGGACCGGAGGGAGGGGACTGGCCTGTGGTTACCTGAGCCAGGAGGAGTGGCCAAGCCTCCCCACCCCAGCCCAGCTCTTTCCTCTCTCTAGCCGCCTGGGGATAGTGGGGTGGGAGTCACTCTCAGGGGCTCTGTCATCCCACTCCGGGCTTCAGGGCAGCATGGGGCCTCAGGCGTCTGAGGAGGGTGACTCCTGGGCCCCTGAGTGTCTGTTTCTCCCTAGCTCTGGGACTCCTTGCCTTGATTCCTTCCAGTGTGACCTCCAGACCCCAAGTGTCTGAGTGGGTTTGAGAGCACTGGCAAGATGGAGAGAGAGAAGGGGAGGGTCAAAGGCCACGGCACAGCAAGTGAAACTTCCACAGAGAGGAAGTGGGCTGGGGAACCGGAAGCGGGCCGTTGGCTTCTGAATCTGACCCCCTCTGGTTATGGGATGAACCTGGCACTGTACATCATGATGCTGAGGGATCACTCTGGTCCTCCACATGAACATGCACCTTGGGCTTCATGGGTTGCAGCCCTGAGCCCGGGCCCCTGGCCCAAGCCTGAGGATGTCATGAGAGAAAGCCTCATTCAGAACTGGGGCCAGATGACCCAGTCCCCCTCTGCAGAGCCAAGCCAGCATGGGGTTGGGGACATGTCTGGGTGACTTTGGCCCAGCAGCCTGGTCCACTCCATCCAGGGCTGGTGGAGTCCGTTGTGGGTCAGTCTTGGATTCAGGGGGCCCGAGGTCGCCCACACTCAGACCCAGAGTTCCCTTCCCTTGCTTGCCTAAGATTCTATGGGAGCTCAGGGCAGTACTCCCTGTTCTGTGTCCTGGCTGTGCATGGTGGGCTGCGGTTCCTGGGCAGGGCAGGGTGGACAGGCCTCTGTGCACCTCACTGATAAGGGACCAGCTTTCCCACCTAGCCTTCACCCAGGCTGTGTCCTAAACATATTAGTGACTTTTTTTCTGTTATGATAAAATGCCTGGCAAAAGCTATTTAAGGAAGGAAGGGTTATGTTAGCTCACAGTTCAAGGGTGCGTCCGTCATGGTAGGGAAGGCCTGATGGCAGGAGCTCGAGGCAGCTGGTCCTTTACATCTGCAGTCAGGGAGCAGAGATGCTGGTGCTCAGCTCACTTTCTCCACTTTTTTTTCTTTCTTTCCTTTTTATTTTTATTTTATTTTCCTTTTTGAGACAGGCTGCAGTCAGGGAGCAGAGATGCTGGTGCTCAGCTCACTTTCTCCACTTTTTCTTTCTTTCTTTCCTTTTTATTTTTATTTTATTTTCCTTTTTGAGATGTCTCCCTGTAGCCCCAGCTGGCGTGGAGCACACTATGTAGACCAGGCTGGCCTTGAACTCACAGAGAGCTGCCTGCTGCCTCCCGAGTGCTGGGATTAAAGGCATGCGCCACCATGCCTGGCCCACTTTCTCCTTTTCGTCCTAGGACTTCAGCCCTTTGAATGGTGCTGCCCACATTTAGGGTGGCTTTTTCTACCTAATTCATATAATCTAGACAGTTCCTCACAGCCATGCCCAGAGGCTCGTCTCCCAGGTGATTACAGGCCCTGTCAACTTGACACTCAAGATTAGCCATCACAGCCCAGGGATCCCCCCGCCAAGGCTCGGCACTAGGTCTCTCCACAAGGCCCCCCTCCTCACCTCTGCCTTGGTTGGTCCTTGGGTGATGTGTCCACTCAGAGCTGAGCTCCCATCCTCCCATCCTCCCTGTCTGAATGAAACAATGATCACAGAATGAGTCTGCGTCTCTGAGACAGTCACACACTGTCTTGTTCATCCTCCAGGGAAGACGAGAAAAGATGGAGCCCGAATCCCTCTACGACCTTCTGCAGCTCCCGAAGGAGGAACCGCCCACAGAGGAGGAGCTCCCACGAGGTGCCAATCCTGAAGTGCCATGGGTTGGATCGGGGGAGGGAGAGAGTCTGCGTCACCCAAAAGAGACAGGGAGTGCCTGGGGGCTACCCATGTAGTCATCCATCCATCCATCCTCCACCCCCTTCATCTCTCTATTGATCTATCCATCGTCCATCTACGTCCATCTATCCATTGATCCATCTACCATCACCCATCCATTGATCTAGCCATCATCCATTTACCATCCATCCCTCCATTGATCTATCCATCAATCCATCTCTCATTGATCTATACATCATCCATCTACCATCCATCCATCCATTGATCCATCTACCATCCATCTCTCCATTGATCTATACATCATCCATCTATCATCCATCATCCCTTCCTCCCACCATCCATCTATCCATCCTCTATCCATCTCTCCATTAATCTCCCTTCCTCCTCCCTTCCCTTCACTCACTCGTGTGATCAGTAGTTCACCCTAGGCCCGGCACATAAGTCCCATATTCTAGTCATTCTCCTGTCAGAGGTTTGGGGGGCACCCGGCACGTTTCTGGAATGGTCATGTGGCAATTTACATTTTATGAGCTTGGGAAAATTAGTCCCATGTGCTGACTCAGTTTCACCCATATACACCAAGACCTTCTCTAATCTACAGGGTTCCTCTGAGCCTGCTACTTTGTGGGGGCCCTACTGAGAAGGGAGTGACTGGGCCTCGGAGGACACGGGGGCTTCAGTGCTCCACCCTGGCAGCATGGGTGATGTCAACCACCTCTTCCCATGCAGCCTTTGCCCCTCTGAGCCATGCTTTCCCCTGAGGCAGGTGGTGAGGTTGCCAGAAGATCCTGGACATCAGCTGGACCTTCAGAGGGCTGAGAAGTGACCCAAGAGTTTAGTGTGCCATCCCAGTATGAAGCTGAGCTGAGCTGAGCCAGTGCTTGGGAGGAAATGTGAGGAGAGAGGCAGGCTGGCTTCCCTGGGGCCTAGGTTCTACGGGGGTCTGCAGGGAGTCAGGGCCCTGTGGGTGATCTGCCAAAGGCCCGCAGGATTGCCCCCCACCACCATGTCATACCCACATCTGCTTCCAGGAGGAAAGAAGAAATACCTGCCCCCCAACTCCAGGAGGGACCCCAAGTTTGAAGAACTACAAAAGGTACAGCAACCCCGTTCCCTCAGGCCCTGATGTTTCTAGAGCTAGTCTTGGTGGCCCTAACACGCAGACACCCCATCCCTCTCCACACCCCGTTCTCACATTGATGTCCTCTGTTCCAACAACACACCCTGCGTTCTTCCCGGGACCTCGCTAAAGCACCCGCAGCCTGTACATTCCCCAGCTTTCCCTTGCAGGCAGCCTTGGCTTTGTAACCGAGCACACATTGCCCACTGCTACCATCACCCAATTTCACAACCACACCCCTAGTTTTAGGTATTTGCTACAGCAATACCAACTTCCTAGTACCAAAATTCAATGTATTGTGCTGACAGCCCCGCAGGGCTCAGCCAGGTGGTGGGGAGATTCTGGGGGTCTTTGGGAACTCAGGTTGGGGCCCCTCATGGCCTGGAAGATCAGGGAGGGCTTCTTAGAGGAGGTGTCACTTGCCCAGACCTTGAAGAGTGGGTAGGAGTTGGCCAGTGGAAGAGGTCAGAGGTGCTGAGGCTGAGGTCAGAGAGTGGCCTGGTGACCTCCCACATTGTGAACTGTCCTCTTGTGGTCAGCAGGTGCTGATGGAGTGGATCAACACCACGCTCCTCCCGGAGCACATTGTGGTCCGAAGCCTGGAGGAGGACATATTTGATGGGCTCATTCTGCACCACCTGTTTGGTAAGTAGAGGTCCACGCCCTGCCCTCCCCCTACCTGTTCCCTAAGTGGTTGATTTCAGAATTTCCAGGTCATGCACACCCCAAACTCTCCAAACACATGGCTTCTGTCTCTATTCCTGTCACAGACCCTGGGGAAGGAAGGGACCCCTGGCTTTCTAGACTGCCGAGCTGCAGAGGTAGAGATACTGCCCTAGCCTGGGGCTGGCGGGACAGAGCTATGGCTTTTTTTTAAATAAAAAAAAGACTTTATTGAGAATTTCATACATGCATATAAGGTGTTTTGATCAAATCCATGCCCACTCCCTCCCCTCCAACATTCCCCCCTCTGAAGAGGTAACCCTAAAATCTTTTAAGGATTAGATACAAGCTCCCAAATACTTTTGACATTTTTGGACTTGCAACAGAGTATGTTGCTAACAGGCCCAAGGACATTTTGACTTTTAGCCCAGAAACTGGCTACATTTCTTTGGGGTCTTTTTACCCTGACTGCCTAGTCAATTCCTACCTCCTATTCTTATCACGCCATTCTCTGAAGGGGTTACCCAACTTGCCAATAGGGCATAGGGATGCCAGCTGCTCTGGCTTCTTCCATACTGAACAGGGACACAGGGTGAGCCAATTAGAGTACCCCTTCAGTGGGTCTATCTAAAAGACTCCCAAATTGCATAACTCTTATCTGTAGGGGGAAAG